CACTTTTCTTCTCCACTCCCACCTTCCAGTCATCTCTTCTTGGAAACCGCCTAAGCACATTGTCCTTGTAGTTATCAACATTGTTCTCATAAGAATCTTCACTGAAACCAAAACATAGCATTTTCTAGCTACTAAGAAGAAAACATGTGGATAACATGCTGCTGTTTTCAGTTGTTGCTGAAAATTGAAGGACTTTCTGTTTTGCTGGTCTTCAGGTGCAAGGTCTAGGAGTGCAAGGTCTGGTCTTTCTAGCTCTCACTTTGGGCTCTTGCTCTTCCGGTTTCGGTTTTCAGGATTGTCGCTTCTCTGGGATCATTATCTGCGAACTGGTCGAGCTTGGTCGGCTTGTATATCATTCATTTGCATATTTTATTGCTATTATTTTAATATCATTATTATTTTAAGTTTTATTTTCTTTCAATTATTCAATTGTTCTTATCTCAACCTACGAGTCTCCTTACCCTTACCCCTCCAGTTCACCCCTCTGTGCCCTGGGAGGAAGGAGGAATGAGCAAGCGGCTCTGCTTGGCTGCTGGACAAGTGAAACCAAAACGGCTGAGAAAGGGGCAAGACCGACAGTCAAGCTGGACTAAGAGATTTTCCAATACAGCTATGAACAATTTGTAGCTGCTATCGAAGGCTCTGAGGGCAAGGAGGGGTAATGCAGCCTGCCGGGTCAGGGAACAGCATTGGTCTCAACTTCTGCATTTCCAAGTGAACACACAGGAAAAGAGTTTGATCCAACCCTGCTGTGTCAGTGGGGCAGGAAGACAGGCCAGCCGCATACACCACCGCCTTAGCATAAGCAAAGAAAATACCAGGCTGCTCTGTAAACACATCCAACTCTGTGTTAGTCAAGATTGTGGCTAGAAAAAAAAAAAAAAAAATCAGATGCTGTGCTGAAAACAAGAGAGCTGCCCCAGCTTTGCCAAGAGTAGTGCATTGTACCCTTAATTACACATTCACTGTAGTCAGTGGGTTATTTATAAATCATTTCAGTTCTGTTCCTCAATTCACAGGAGATGAATTCTTATCACTAGTCTAAGTCACTGTGGTTCTTTTCAGTTCCTTATCCAAACAGATTTATTACTGGAGAAATACGTTTCTGCATAAATAGGCTTATTGTGCAAGCTTCTGTAGGACTCTTCAACCAAACAGTTGTCTGTTTTCCTGCCTTTCCACAGAGTTCACTACAGCCTAGCCAAGTAGAAATTTCTTTGTCATAACTGTCTTTCAAAGAGTGATCTCCTGAGGTCCTAAAAGATCACTTTATCCACCCCTGTGCGCAAGCAAGTCTCGTAAAAGAAACACCAACTGTTTTACTGTAGGAGCAAAACTTCTCTGCTATTTTTTTAGTTCTGTGGAAGTAGATTATACCACTGTCAGAGACACTCACGGATGAGGCAGTGCATGTCTTGGGAGTGCCGAGAATTATCTGGAATGGTGAAATTGCCATCACAGATTGCCACCTGACTCTCCCCAAATGGCAAGGTGAAGTAACACAGCTTGTACAGTAAACAGCCAAGGGCCTGAAGAAAGAGAAGAGAGCAAACGATTTAGCAAACTGAAATAAAGCAGAGGATGGTACAATTCAAATACCATTGCAAATAATGGGGAAACTGCTCTAGCTTGTTGTAATATAGGGGTCCTGGATGACATCAAGCCTACATTTTATCATCCCTGTGATCGACCTGAACACAAGCACATAGCTATATGGGAAGATAAATACGTCAAGAGCTCTCCCTCACTAGGCCAAGATACTGTAACCCGGGGGATCATGCGAGTATCAGCATCACACACCCCCCACAGCTCCAGGTACCACTATACACAACGTAACCCTTCACGTCATTAAACAAGCAAAGCCTGCTTTCACCACACACCGGGAGGAAAAAGCAAAGTAATAGCAAAAATAAATGGTAATCGTCATCCTTAATTCATTTATTCTGACAAAGAAAAATCCAAAATAGTTTCCAAGCTTAAATTCAAACAACCCTTCAACCATTATAAATATGTACCAGGGAGAGATATACAGATAAGTCTGCAGGCTGATAGGTTCTATCACCCTTCCATCTATTTCCATGCTAATTTTGACAGCAAGAACCACCACCTATTTCAAAAGAAAATACAAGTTTTGCACAAAGGGCTAATTATGAAACACTCCTACCATCTCAGAGCAGAGAGGGGGAAACATTTCCTAATCCTAAACAACTCATCATCATCTTTTGTCAGAGGATTTCACAATTAAATTGCACTCTAGTTTAAAATAACCTCGATTAGATTTAAGGAAAAAGAGGTCACAAGTGGGACAGGCGCTGCAACAGGCCTGGAAGTCGAGGCCCCACTGTGCCCAGCACCACATGCTCGTTTGGAAATGCTGAGCGGGTCACTAGAACAGAATTCTTTCCATGCCAGGAAGGAGAGAGCTGTTTGAGCCTTTGAGTCTCCACCTTTCCACGTTATCGCAGGAAGGAGTGCAAAACCCAGGGTCTCCTCTGGCTGCCTTTGAGGCCCTGACAATCTTTTCATGCTGTTACAGCTGTGACCTTCCCTCTCTGGGTCTCTAACGCCAAGGCAAGTGACCTGGCAC